GAAGAACAAAAGGACAGCAACTTGTCTGTTCCCCTTCCCCCAATTCCCCAGCACTGTTCCCATCCCCCCAATTCCCCAATAAAAATCTTAAAAAACAAAACAAAAAACAAAAAAAAAACCTGCCCCTATTCTTTTTGCATCTTACTGAAGTTAAAGATAAACTTAACATTCATTGTCCTTCTATTCTCCTCTCCTTTTCCCCTCCTATACCAATGACTATTTCGTGGAAGCAGAAAACACATATAAACCTTAGCCCAGGGGATGGAAAGAGTCTGTCTCTTCCGCTAGCGATTGTGAGACCGCCACTCTGTCTATGGGGTGCCCTTTATTTTTTTACTTATTCTAGATAAACTTACTTTTATTTTAAACTGTGTATCGGCTCACGTTTGAATTCTTTCCTCTGTGAGACCAAGAACCCTCCTCTCCGGTAACAGTTCTGCTCAGCCAACTGACCAGTTCCTCCAGTTGTCAGGAATCAGGGAGGCGGGTCCTTGAGAACTGTTCAATCAGAGATTCATCAGGGCAGGTGGGTGGGGCGACTCTCCGCTAACCAAATGAATGCTCCTGGCAGCTCTTGCGATCTCACTTCACCTGCGGTTAACGGTCCAGGTGTCTCTGCTCTAGCGTCACACCCGCTGTGGCCTGCACTGGCAGTGGGAGCCGAAGGTATCACGCTGGGGCACCCCAGAATCCGGGAAATGGTGAGTGTATGAGGCCAGGTTCTGAGAGGGACCCGCTGCGTCGGGACTCGGCCTCCCCGCGGTCACCTCTGGAGTCTGCTGACCCAAGTACAGCCCGGGCTCCGCTTGGACCTCAGTCCCCTCCGGCAGCAGCGTGGGCGCTGGGCAGGCAGCTGGGACTCCTGATGTCCTGTCCTGTCAGTGCGCTCGGTGACTTGGGCCCTGGCCTCAGAGCCTCTCTGAGCAGCTCTGCACCCGCAGACTGGCGTCCCCAGAGGGTGCGGTGACCACAAGTAGTGTCATCGGGTGATAATCATAACTCGTTCTCTGGGGTTTGTGTATGGGAGGGGCTGTGGTCTGTGAGGTTCCTCCTTTCTCCCCAAGGGACCCATTTTCTCCTGAGTTTTCCTTCCAAATGCTTGGGAAGCAGGTCTCAAATCCAGGACCCTATACCCTAGACTACCTCTTCCCCAGACTGGCAGTAAGTCCCTAAATTCCCAGAACCTCCAGGCATTCCCAAACTTCAGCTTCCCCTCTTCTAGTTACAGCATCTTTATCAGTTGTTTGTCCTTAGTGGTGCATTTGGAACAGATGCAGCATTTTAAGTGTTTGTCATTTTCCCACAGTCAATGAACGGATCATTATAAAAGATTTACATTTGTCTATGTGTAGTTTACGTGGGAGGATATTTTAGCCTAGAATAACCACCTGGAAGACAGTTGTATGAAAGTCCGTTCCTCTCTCCCAGGACCTTCCCTGGGCACAGACATCCTATGGGAAGTCCTTGGAATGGAGGCTCTGAAACTGGAAGATGACTGAGAGATGCCAGGTGAAGAAAGCAAGAAAATTGTGGAACCAAATAGAGTTTTTGTTCATTTAAGCAAGAGAACCTGAAGATGTAAGATGAATGCATTTAAGTTCTGATGTACACTTTTTATTTTTAGACAAGTTTTTGTATGTACATATCCCTAGAGCACATTGAAAATTAAAAAGACTAAAGCAACTGAGTTCCTGTTATAATTGATGTGAGGAAAACTACTGAAAGCTTATGTAAATCTTTGACAATCCTATTACATTTAAAGGGCTAAACTCAAACCCCTGGGGCATTCTAATATTCTACTTATTCCTGAAAATACCCCCAAGTGTGAGATACAGGGGCAGGATGAACTAGGACTCTGCATGTCCTTTTAGTTAGCAAGAGATTTGAAAATTCTCTTTGTATGGTTTATACTTTTGTAACCGTTAGTGTTTAAAGAATTTAAACCTTAGAGTGGTTAGTAAATAGTAAATTATGATGTACACAAATTTCCGTGTTTATTTTAAATAAATCTATAAGATAGAAAAGCCTAAGTTAAAAAGACTTTCTGCAAACATATTCTGGTCCTCTTTAACGCTGTTACTCCAGACATCCCCAAATACACGGTTTTGATAATTTCCTTAGTATTTCTTTATATAAAAACAAACCATTGCAAATGCATAATTTTTTTACCCACATTTGTCCTTGTAATAAGCGGTCGGACGCCACATTTTTTGTTGTTTGCTGACAGCTTAAGCCTCCCCCTTTTCTCTTCCCTTGTGTCCACAGCTAGACAGGCTGTGGACAAAGTCCAGGGCTCCCTCCTCCTGCAGTGTGTTCAGATTCCAACCTCACAGTCCCTGCCTGTGAACAGGACTCTTGCCCTGGCCCCGCCTCCAACCACGTAGGCACCCAAACCAGGCTCCTTTCCTTCTTCCTGAAGTCATTTCAGAGCTGCTTGAGAGGCCACTCTATACTCCCCTGAGACCTCCATTATGTGAGCTGTAAGCCTTTTCCTACCCTCTCAGTGTGTGTGTGTATGTGTGGGAGACACACGAGCATCATTCTCAACATGGGACCACTCCTCTGCAGGGGACCGTAACAGTTGGCTCAGTGAGCAGCACATCCCACGTGACCACCCTGTGGGTCTGTCTTCTCTTGCTCTGACTTGCTCACCTGCTCTGCTGCCTGATGGTGGCCCACACTGCGGGCTACTGGGTATTGGGGAGCTGGTGCTGTGAGCTGTGCTGCCCCGTGTGGCAGTGTTGGCCCTACCAAGCCCTAGTTCTATGTGCAGTCGACCAGAGTGGACAGCTTCGAGAATTTCCAGGCATTTGGGAGCAGGTGTGTGGGATTGGGGCCCTCTCTAAAGTCCTGGGTGGATGTCTTTGCCTGGATTTGTCTGTGTGTTAGAGTGAAGCTGTGGCCTCAATATACCGTGGGGATGGGGGTGGGTGAGTGGGACTCCATCCTATGTAGGAGGTGGGCCCATGGGGTGGTCACTCCTAAAGGGCAGTTATTCAAATAAAAAAAGAAAGGAGAAGGGGAAAGGCAGCCAGTAAGTGGCGGGTTGAGTCCCTAATAGCAGAGGGCTCCCCAGGATCACACAGTGCCTCTGTTTCTGCCCCTGCCTCTACTGCAGCCCCTATCCTGACCCTCAGGGTTAAGGGGACAACACCCATGGCCTCCCTGTGGCACAACCAAAGGATTAGTTCAAACCTGACTTAAGCCCAGGGTTCTTAAACTCTATAGAACAAACCATTTGTCCTGGGGGAGGCTCCTAAGCCTGATGGCACTAGTTAGAGGCTCTTCAGGAAAAAAAAAATTGTAACTACAGATATACCTCGTTTAATTGTGTTTTGCTTTATTGTGCTTCACAGGTGTTGCTTTTGTTCCAAATTGAAGGCAAGACCCTCCACCAGCAAAAAGATTACGACTCACTTTATTGCTACACTTGCTTTAATGTGGTGGTCTGGAACCAAACCTGCAATATCTCTGAGGTAGGCCTATATCAGGATAGAGAGAACACCCTCTTTCCTGAAGGACAGCAGGTCCTCAAATAATGTGGTTTCATTCAAGGTCATTTTGTTATAACACTGATGAGAAAAAAAAGTGAGATGAGAAAGCAGTGAGCCTCATGGGCAGTGTCCCACACCACTGGGGAAGCCAAGTGCTCAGTCACTACGTTTTTGTTCCTAGTGGGAAAAAACACAGGCTGAGCAAGGGAGTCTCTCTTGCCAGTGAGGTGTGTTGCTCTGGGGGAGGGGTGATGTGGGTGATGTGAAACTGTGATTCTTAGCCTGCAATGTGTGTATTCTCAGTGTATTCACTCCAGTGGTGTGCTGAAACTTCACTGGACTCCTAGAAAAGTACTCTAATCCTTGGGTAATTGTCAAAATTGGTGCACTGTGGGGAGATTTTGATAGAAAACTCCCTATTCCACCTTCCTACTGACATGTCTTTTACTTGTTGTATTTAGACCATTGATGTTTAGAGTGATTATTAATATAGCTGGATTAATGTCTACCATATGTTTATGATTTTTTATTTGTTGCCCTTGTTCTTCTTTGTCTTCTACCTTTTCTGCCTTTTCTAAAGCATTTTACTTGATTCCATTATTTTATTTTTCTTAGCATGTCATTATACATTATTTTGTTTTACATTTTAGTCATTGCCCTTGAGTTTGCAATATACATTTTTTTAAAAGATTTTTATTGGGGAATTGGGGGGATGGGAACAGTGCTGGGGAATTGGGGGAAGGGGAACAGACAAGTTGCTGTCCTTTTTGTTCTTCAGTCTAGTTGTGGAGGGCATTGCTTCACTGGCCCAAGTTGGCACCATCATTGCGCTCTTCCCGGGTGAGGCAGATCATCGCCTGCTTCAGGACAGCCGCTCACGCTGGCTGCTGGCTACATACGGTAGCTCCTGGCAACCCACTGCCACAGGGACTGCAGCCTACGCCGTCGCCAGCGATTCACGGCAGCCCAGCTCCAGGTTGAGCTGTTGTTCAGCATCTTAGCTGTGGAGGGCAGTGTCACTGGCCCTCATATGTGGGATCCGAACCGGGGCCCTCGGGCGTCCCAAGCCAGTTCTTAACCATCACGCCACTCGGCCGGCCCGCAATATACATTTTTTTAAAAAAAAGATTTTATTGGGGAGCTGGGGGAGGGGAACAGTGTTGGGGAATTGGGGGAGGGGACCAGCCAGTTATTGTTCTCCAATCTTTGTTGTGGAAGGTGCCAGTCGCCATCTGGCTTCCCATCAGCAGCTTGTGGCCTCTAAGCTCAAGGTGCTGTGTTCAATCTTAGTTGCAGGTGGGCATAGCCACCATCCCATGCAGGAGTCGAACCATCAGCTTTGTTGTTAAGAGTGCACACTCTATCCACTGAGCCATCCAGGTGGCAGCTCAGCTCAAGGTGCCAAGTTCAGTCTTAGTTTTTGCAATACACATTTACAACTACCCCAAGTCCTCTCCGAAGTAACACCATAGCACCTCATTGGATGTGTAAATTCCTCATAACAGAGTATTGCTAATACCTCATAACAGAATATTCCCAATTCCTCTCACCCTGTCCCTTGTAACATTGCTATGATTCATGTATTCAAAAGCCGTAATTACTGAATAGATTGCTTCTGTTGTTTGTTTCAGAGAGTCTTTATTTATCCCTCACTTTTTAAATTTTTTTTTTTTAGCTGAGCCATCCTGCCACCTGTTGGCAGCTCAGTGGCAGCTCAGCTCAGGCCGGGAATCAAACCAGCGACCCTGTTGCTCAGAGTTCACACTCTTAAGCGAGCTCTTAACCAACTGAGCCACTTGGCCGGTCCTTATCCCTAACTTTTGAAAGATAATTTTAATTTGACACAAAATTCTAGTTGGGTGGTTTCTCTTTGAACACTTTATTTCACAAAACTCTCTTGCTGCTTGCAAGGTTTCTGAAAAAAAGTCCAATTTCATTCTTATCCTTGTTTCTATATAAGGCTTTTTCCCCCCTTCTTTCAAGATTTTCTCTTTGTTTTTTATTTTTCTGAACTTCGAATATGGTATTTCTAGGTGTGCATTTTTAGGGTTTTATCTTGTTTGGTGATCTTTGAGCATCCCAGATCTTTGTTATCATTAATTTGGGGGAAATCTCATTCATTCTTGCTTTACTTATTTGTCCTTTTCTCCTCCTTCATATATTCCCATTATGTGTATGTTATACCTTTTGTAATTTTCCCAAAGTTCTTGGATTTCTGTTCTTTTTTATTTTATTTTATTTTTTTTAAGATTTTTATTGGGGAATTGGGGGGATGGGAACAGTGCTGGGGAATTGGGGGAAGGGGAACAGACAAGTTGCTGTCGTTTTGTTCTTCAGTCTAGTTGTGGAGGACATTGCTTCACTGGCCCAAGTTGGCACCATCATTGCGGTCTTCCCAGGCGAGGCAGATCAGTCGCCGGCTTCTGGACGGCCGCTCACTGCGGCTGCTGGCTACATACGGTAGCCCATGGCAACCCACTGCCACAGGGGCTGCAGCCTACGCCGTGACCGGCGACTCACAGCAGCCCAGCTCCAGGTTGAGCTGTTGTTCAGCATCTTAGCTGTGGAGGGCAGTGTCACTGGCCCTCATATGTGGGATCCGAACCGGGGTCCTCTGGTGTCCCAAGCCAGTTCTTTAACCATTGCGCCACTCGGCCGGCCCTTTTTAATTTTTTTATTTTTATATTTGCATTTCATTTTGGAAAGTTGTATTGACTTCTCTGCAAGCTCTCTGATTCTTTCCTCACATATTTCTACTGTATTGCTGAGCCCTCCAAAGAAATTCTTAATTTCTGCTCTGTTGTTTTGGTATTTATTTTTTTGCATTTTCCATTTGGTTCTTTCTTAGTGTTTCCATCTCTGCTTACACTCCTTGTCTATTCTTGCATGTTGTTCCCTATTTCCATGAGAACACTTAGCACATTAATCATGATTGTTTTACGTTTCTGGTTTGATAATCCAACATATCTGCTACATCTGAATTATGTTCTTTTGTTTGTTCTATCTCTTGATAATGTGTCTTAATTCTTTTAGCATTTATTGTAGTTTTATGCTGAATGCCATACATAATGTACAGTGTAAAAAGAACTGAGATAAATAGGCCTTTAGTGTGAAGTTTTATGTTTATCTGACTAAGGTTTAGGTTGTGTTTACTGTTTGCTGTAATTGTCAGGGGCCAAAATATACTCAGGGGTCTTAGCTTTTGTCATCCATGTCATCTTTAGGGTTTTATAGAGTCTTCTTAAATAAGGTTTCAAATATATATAGCTCTTTCAGTGTATTCTGCTGTTATTAATTAGGGGTCCTCCTGATGTAGTGCTCTGTTGTGAGTGGAGAGGAGGTGTTCTATAGTCCTATGATTTGGTATCAGTATTTTAATGAGTCTGTGTCCTGGACTGTGACATTCTGTGATATAATACGAAAGATATTTGGTCTTTGTCTATGGTTCCTAGCAAAGACCTCCTAAAGCCTTTGGACTTTGTGAGTGATAAGGTGACGGGAGCATCTGATGTTCTGGTGAGGTGACTGCAGACCCCTACATAGCTTCAGGATGGGCGTTGGTCACCAGGAAGACCAAGCTTAGATTAAGAGGCTTAGAACTTTCAGCCCAGCCCCCAACCTCTGGGGCGGGGAGAGGGCTAGAGGTTGACTTAATAACCACTGGAAAGATTCAATCAGTCATACTGACATAATGAAAATCCAAACCGCTAAACCTTGGGATTCAGAGAGATCTGAGTTGGTGAACACATCAGTGCTCTGGGAGGGTGTCATGCCCGGAGAGGGCCTAGAATCTCCTACTCTCCCACCCTCACTTTGTCCTGCACAACCTTTCCACTTGGCTGTTCTTGAGTTGTATCTTTTACAATAAACCAATAATAATAAAGCACTTTTCTTAGTTCTAAAAGTCATTCAACAAACATGGGGTGTGTCTAGGGAACCTCTGAATCTGTAGTCAGCCATGCAGAAATGTGTGTGGCCTGGGCCTCCCTATTTGTGGGCTGGCATCTGAAGTGGCGGCACTCTTGTGGGACTGAGCCCTTAAACTGTGGAGTCTGATGTTAACTCTGGTTAGTGTTAGAATTGAATTGAACTGTAGGCCACCCAGTTGGTGTTGGAGAGTTGAAGAGTGGTTTTGGAAAACACACCACATATTTGCTGTCAGGAGTTAAAAAAAAAACTAATTAACCTCACAAGTGTGTCTAAGTTTCCCCCCACCATCAACTTAGGTCAAGTAGAAAGGCTAGAAGGGACTTAAGTTGCAGTTTCCCTCCTCCATGTCAGTTGGTGCTAATAAAATCCCAGTCCACTAGGCTTTGCTGAAACAGAATCTCTGAGGACAGGTCTTGTTAAGAAGAACAGAATATTGTGGGCTTATTTCAAAATGGCTATTTTTCTGTCTCTCCTAGTTTTGGGAGACAGCAGTTTGTCCTGTGATTAATGCTTTGACAGAGCTGAATTGTTGATTTTAAGTTTGTTAGCTTTTTTCTGGTGAGAATAGTAATGTCACCTTTCAAGCTCCTTACATGTCAGTGGAGAAACCAGAGGTCTGTCTCACTCCATTTTGTAATGATTGACAGCTGACAGCTTTAAAAGCCTCCCTCTCCTTCTTCACCTTCTGCCCCACATCTGTACAAGGTGATAATAAAGCCTGAGTGCTCACTCCTTTGGAGCTTGTAAGAGATTTAATTCCTGGAAGCCCTTCTGTGCAAAATCTCACCCTAGCCCACCCACCCCATAACCTCAATTTTAAAAACACAACAAAAAACCAGGCCAGCCTCTGTTCCTTGCTCTCTCAAGCCATTTCCCACCTGATTGAGAGGCCTGCCCTGCCCTCCCCAGACACCTCAATTATGGAAGTAATAAACTTTTTCATATGTTTCTGGCCGGAATGTGTTATCAACCAAACCTATAGTGGAGCCCACCTGACTCTGCAGGTGACCATAACAGTTATAAAAGAGGTAACATGGTATATATATTGCAAT